AGGGAATCATTAAACTGAATCATAAGGCAAGCACTAACTTGGAATCCTGAAACGGAATAAAAGAAGATGAAAGAACACTGCTTTATGGATTGGCAGCAGACATGTAAATGATGAGTAGCAAATGGTTACAACTGGAAAGGAGTGCTCAGGATAAAAGTCGTTGGCGAGTCCCGACGGTTAGCATATGCTACTCCTCGAACGTTGACAAGCATAAGTAAGTTAGTATCTAACTACATATTATTAGTATTTTACATCACACGCAGTTCATATCTCTTTATTAAGTAACATCCATATACTACGTTATTAATGTGAATTCCTGCCATCCACACTAAAGATAGCCCATTGTGTTTGATTTACCTGCACAATGCCACCTATACATCTAATGTAGTGACATTGAATTTCGCCTGTAAAATTACAGTGCAAGGATGTTCGTGCACTTTTACTAAGCAGCATTTTTTATAAGTTTCTTCATAATCTAAATGATTTTTGAGGTTGGTGTTATTGTTTTATAGACCAACCATTCGATTAGCTTGATGTTAACATGCATATTATGGTATAGAGTCTGTATTTCTCAAAGTCACTTAGAGCCGAGTTGTTGTCCACCTTACAAGTGTTTATATCGGATAAAATTTTGGTTGATCACATATAAAATTAAGCGAATATTACTGTTAGGCTCGCCATGGGCGTGTATGGTCTATTGGTTGGACATATTGGACAGCAAATAGGTGAACGATGGTCCGGGTGAGTACAGGGACAGCAGTTCTATCACGAAACTTGCGCTCTTACGCGACGTTCTGTGATCTCAAGTTATTCAGACATTGGAAAAAATCAATACATCTGGTCGGTATTACTGACTGATGTCCAAACCTAAGAAGCTTCTGTGGCTTGCATATACCATAAGTCATTATTGTGTTTAACGAAACGATCGTGATGACTGTCTTTAAAGTTTGCAGATTTATGATGGAAATACAGTGATCAGTAAAATGAATGAAGGTAATAACGACCACAACGATAATGTGTGAATCTAACTTATTTGCATGGTAGCTTTTAACTTGTCCTATGACTGACAAAGCCCAATCAACAATCGCCATGTCTTGGTTCTTCATTTACAAAAGTTTAGACAGACTCTCAACACTCGTACGGGAAGGACTAAGCTAAGAGCTATCTGAAATTGAAGTTTACTCATGATGGCGAAAAATGGGTTTGTATACCAAAGTGTCACAATAAGATTCACCGAAGTCACTTTCCGGTGCACAAGGAGCCTAGTTTTGTTAATACTAACTCGGAAGTTAGCTAAATATTTCCCATGTCATTAACCGGGAATGTCTCATGTTTGCGGGTTACGGGTTTATTTGGTCATAAGAGATCTCCATAATATCTTATTTGGTAAGGTCTTCTCCACTTGTCTCTTAAAGTGCACAGATCCACTGCTTTTTAGGTCAGCTTGTATTTCGGGGGGTTGCTTCACCATGGAATGTCAGCTGTCACTTCGAACTTCGGTGTTGCATGTGTTTCTCAATGCTAAGTATGAGCTATGATCAAGACCATCGAGGAAGCCTTTCAACATTTGCTAGGCTCTCTCGTTAGCCTGTAGCAGGCGTTCTGTGCCTTTCTCAACTCTGGATCTTCTCCCCAGGTGTATGCTTTGCTAATGTTTGATTTTCCGAAAAAACATTCTGAACGACATGCATCACTATCTCGTAGTGGTCACCCATTGCGTCGAGTTTGTTAAGGATGATCTCTCATAGTCGTGCAGTGTGCTCTATTGTAGCTAAGTTAGGGAGTGTACTTATCCTTCTAAAGTGTCTCGTCCGCGTCCATGATAAACATCACTGCACCGTAGTCACTACTTCCCATTACCGTCCCTTTTATAAGCATTGGTTTTCATGTTTTTTACACCAACTACAGAGTAAGTAGGATATAAAAGTTAAATTATCACCTTCATTTTCCGATGAGTCGTAGTGACAGTAAAATGTGGTTGGTCACTGAACGTAGACAAAAAAGCACTTAGCCTACTGACTATCAAATATGTGATTTCCTTTCGTCTCACTGTATGCAAGAAGTATAAACTTAGGGTGATAAAAAAGCATCACGTGTTCGCTTTAGGAGCAGGATCATCACTAATATTTGATCATACGTGTCTGTAGTGTTGTTGGTTCCTAATCACACGATCTTTGAAGCTGAACATATAATTGCTGACACCAAGAGGAGGTGGACGCAAATGCAATCGATCAATATAGCATGGTCGTTCTGCAAAACGTTTCCCTATGTGTTGGGGAGATCCAGAAAACTCCTCGAAAAGAGGCTATGATAGGCTCCCAAAACACTGAGAAGCATCTTATCCAATCAGCGTTCACTAGACGTTTAGCCAGAAACATCTAGAGGTTGGAAAGGGACATTTCGAGTTCCTGGTTGAATGGTTATTACACTGCTACTATTTTTAGTATTGTGCTAGAGCACTCGGGAAGACCCAAGGACGTCTAAAATACTATAAAAACCCTATATTTTCTGTACATAAACGAACATTTGGAGTAAAGTGTTTCTCGCATATTTCGGGCCTTTTTTCTCGTATTCAAGTCGCTGTACGGTTCTAGCTTAGGGATTACTAAAAAAGCTTAGGAACCGAATATAGCGCTCAATTAGCAAGACCTTTAACTGTCCACATTAAATATATTATTCTTTCCGCAACGCAGAATGTGTTCTCCTGAAGTACTAAACATATTGCTGACTGTCATTACAGGACAAGTCTGCATAGACATTGATATGACTTAAATTAGATAGTCAAATAATGACAAATCTATAATTTTGGGATCAGGTATATTATTATAGTAGCAAATATAAATGTGTAGTGGCATTGGACAATGGAGAAGGCGCGAACAATGAGTTGAGTGGACTGAAGTTGATCGAGTGGCATGGCTCGGCCATGCAGGCGTGGTCTTTGCCGAATGTTACCTTATATCTTCTATTCATATTAAATATATTGTTCTTTCTCTAGCCTAACCTTGTTCTACATCATGTATTGGTAATTGATACGATACAGTGAGTTGGTGTAGTCGATGGTGTGACTTCCACGTAAGATCTTATAGATTAGGCAGTTATATCATGACAAATATACAAATTTAGGATTAGGTCTATTATTAGAGCAGTACTAATATCATAGTAGACCATAGTTCTACATTGGTGAGCCCGACGTGATTCGAACACGCAGTACAAGTACTGAACCGGAACATAATCCTTCCTGTCTTTGAAGCATCGGCCGTGCATTTTGGAGTAAGCAATGGCTTCATCAGGAAAAGGGTACTAGGTAAAGATTAGGAGTCTGCTGATGAGTTAGTATATCTACTGAGTTGGCTGGGACATATGTGACTTTTGCCAATCCGCTGGCTTCCTCGGTTGGCGATATTGTGTCGTTTATGATCAGGTCGGACAGAGAATACGGGAGATCAAATCAATATTCAGCAGTAATCCATGAAGTTACTGACTTAATATTATCAATGTTGCTGGATGCAGACTACATGATGAGGGTCCACACAATTATCACAATTAGTGGTTAGACACTTCGAATGACAATTCGCTTGGGTGAACCCATTCTTCATCATCCCCTAGATTTTAAGCTTCTGAATTCTCCGTAATTTTCCCACTACTTTATACTTCCTTAAATCATACCTCTGGTGTCTAATCTTCTCTGTTTCTACTAATTTCACTACGACATTCATTACTACGGGATTCGTCTGAAAAATATCATCACGTTATTTTCACTTGGTTTAGTAACCTGAACTGATGTACATGTCTATTCGGTTCTGCGTTTGCTTCAGTTTACTGGGTGATTAGGTCCGGACAGTGAGTTAAGTAGCAAGTAATGTCGAAGAAACGTGAACTTATAAGGAATGGGAAAGATGTTGATGACCACGTTTACTATTATTATTATTATTATTATTATTATTATTATTATTATTATTATTAGCTTTATTCAATATTATATTATTGATACAATATAGAATTCTCAGCACAAAGTATTTCAACAAGTTTCCGTTTCTTTCTTCTTGGTCGGTCCTCGCGATAAATACTGAGTGGTCGCCAGTTAGATGTCATCAGTCCGGTAAATAAACATGGGAATGATGTACATTCTTTTCGTTGTATATTGCCAGCAACCATATTCTCTCTTTTTGAGCTTTTTGTAACTTTGATAACGAAAGGTTGTACATTTTTCAGAAACGCAGCAGAATAGGTTGTGCGATTAATAGACATAATGATATATTAAAACAAACAAAAATAGATAACTTGTTGAAATATCTAGATGGCAGGAACAGGTAGCCCAGATGCTCAAGCAGGCCGCTGTGAGACACTCCATTGGGCGCGCAAAACAATTTAGTGGTAAAATAGCACAATTGTAGATTTTGATTTGTATTGGTGGGAGCCATCTCAACTATCTACAAGTTGGCTCTAGAAGAACAGCTCAGTGGAAACAAACAGCCATGTGAAATTGCATTGTGTGCATCACCCTCACAGCCAATAACCGTGATAGGCTTCTCTGTATAATTATTCGAGAGAAGTCTGGAATACAAAATGAATACTTGTAAATTACCGTCACGAAGCTTGAACAGTGAACCGGTAGATAGTGCGAGACGATAATATATCCATAAATTTCACTTCCCATAACCGATACGCTATTTCTCTCTCATTATTATTGCTGACGATACTGTTGAAACCTCCTTCTTTTTATAAGGGATTCGAATATCTTAGAATAAGTAAACAAGAGTTCAAAAACTTGACAAGACTTCCTTCTTAGAAGTAAAAGATGTATCTTATCCAGAGCGCTACATCCGAAGACGTGATTAATTTGCTGGTTAGAAACATCGTAAATAATTGTCCACGTAACAAATATGAGAAAGCAACGAAAAAAACAAAGACTACGTTAGCAACAGAACAATGATAGAAAGAACACTGAGAGACACAGTGATGAAAATGTCTTTTACTAATCTCATGCTTTTTTCGAATGAATGAATTTGTCTCGTTTTTGGCGCATATTTAAACCCTCAACAATCGGTATTCGTTCGTTATTTTTGTATCAAGTGAGTTCTTTTAGAATATTAGTTTTGAAGCTATGTTAATCTTCCCTGGTAATTGAAATGTAATACATTTCTGCTTGATTTCATACTTTCAGTTAATTATTCAATGGAAAACCTGGAGTATTTTTTGTAGTAATATCGAAACTTGACTTACACTTCATTACATTCAGAAAGGTAGTACATTACTCGATCCGAATGAGAGTGTTATAGATTTATATCATGCGTGTCATACCTATAAGCAGATAATACACTCAGTGTAACGTAGTCACAAAAGTCGGTTTTACATTCTACATATTGGTGACTTAATTTCTTGAACTGAATGGTCTTATGTTTGTTCTATTGCCTATGAACGTTAGTCTAGGTTTCTACACGAAGCGTTCGTCACGATTTGCCGGTCGTATAATTCTTTCGACATTGTCTAACGTTTTTCTCTGTGTGCCATCAATAAGGTATAACATGAAACATCTGTACGTCTAATGTACATAGTCTTTCTTTCAACTTCATAGCATCTTGGCTTCATCATGGTTCAATTTAGCCTGTCATTGTTAACATAATGGCTCCCAGTGTCTTTTATTCGCATAACCATTATTCTCTATTCTTTTTGCATACTCGCTAGTTTTTTTTCGCTAAATGTATCACTGCAAGTAGTAAGACAAGATGTTTTCCATACTTTGAAAAATACAGAAAAATAAAGCGGACGAGACTTTGATGTCTACTTGTATGTTAGGACTTATGCGGGTACTTGCTTCTAGGATTTTTATTTCGGGTCGTCTATAAACTGAATACAGGACAGACTTGTTGTCACAGGTCGATACGGGTTGATTCTAATTCGTTAACAGCTCAGCAAACTTTAAGGATATTGACCAACAATATCACATCTGGCGTGTCTGGTAACTTTTTTCTTTAACTATTTAAGAGCTTCTTCGTTGATAACTCCAGAGATCATTTGTCACACGGTTCCATGTTTTATCAGTCTAATATTGAAAGACACAATTCATAGTTTTCATGGATTCTTAACTAAGCTATTAATAATGGAGTATTAGCACTACAAATTAAATAACTTCAGCTAGGACTTGTTTGCAATAATTGGTGTCTATGGTGATGTTAGAAAAAGGTCATCACTTTGTACATGTCGAGCGATGGTCAGAGATATGGTAACACAACAAATGACGAATAATAAAGACAATTTTGAAAGAACTCCATAATATATAATTTTGTTAAATCATCTCGCTACTTTACAGCTGGCTTCTTAATTCACTAAAAATATCCAAGACATTACGTCTGGAACAAATATGAATTCATAATAAAGCCTTTACATTTTCGGTTGGAGAATGAACTCAGCTTTTTTAGTTTTTACTCAAGCTGTATTACATATGTATATGCTCAAATACAACAGGTCTACTGACTGATCAATTTAGAGGAACATTAGATATGCTTATTTATTTAGTATGTAGGTGAAACTAGTTGGGTCTAGATAAAATGGTTCAAAATACTATGAAACATTTGGACTCCATTGTTTCATCACTATATCATGTTTTATACTTTCTGTTTTCATGATTGAACATATTTTTTGCTCATTTAACTCCTATGTATACATAAAATAAATAACATTTGTTTGATCACAGTATATGGTAAGCAGTTGTTTATCTTTCAGAAAAACTTTCCAACATGTGGACTGAGAGTAGTGAATCACTATGTTTGGGATCAGTGCCAGTCATTAAGGGGAAGTTTGAAGCTATGCCCAAATCTGCCCAACGCTTTGTTGCTAAATGGGTGGGTAATGTTATATATAGACGCTACTGTATCGCACTAAATTATTTTTAACTTCGGTTTGCGTAATGTGTTTTGTGTCTACAAATTTTGTTGATGCGTTCAACCGTATTCATAGATTTTTTTGAAGATTTATTTAGAAAGAACCTAAAAATAGGAGCTCTAACTTGTAATCACACAAATTGACAAATGAACCAATTTTACAATTGTTGTATCAGTTATACAATATAATGCGACTTTCGAATTCAATGTAGTTCAGGTATGTCCGAAATAGTTTGGTTTCCTTTCACCATATTTTATCGATCGCAGTAAAAACAAAAGTACGGTATGGATTGTTATTGCTACATAGTGTTGGAGCATCATAAAGAAAATGGTTATGATTTTCGTTACCATTTATAGTGGAGTGAAGCCTGACGAAAATTGTTTTTGATGACAATGCAGTATATTAAGTTCTGAGCAAACGTTATTTAATTATTGAGTTACTAGCAATACATAGTTTGTTTGGACTGCGAAATGATTACCATAGGTAAAAGGGTTACATTCAGATATATATATATCGTAACTCCGACCACACGATTAAAAATAAGACGACAAACACTTAACGTGTGAATAAAATATCAATAATAAGATGTCATGGAATTCTAATTATTGTTAACCCTAATATAAGTTATAAATTTGGGTAGGTGCTAATACACGAGAGTTTCATATTGAAATACATAATCTTTTTATAGGATATACCCCATACTTCAAACTGAAATAATTTACTGTCAGTATAATGTAAAAAATACATTAAATAACCAAACGACGTTTAAAGAAGTGATGTATAAATGACTAGATTTGCAGAACAAGATAAGTTTCAGTGAGTTCTGCAATTTTTAAAGTGCTCTCACTTGAAAACATCATTTGAACCGCAAGAGCAAACTCTGATGTGTGTTGAATTTTCTAACCTGCAACAAATACCAATATGTTTATTCACACTGAAATTTATAGAGTCTGTATGACCATTTTTTTAAATGTCGGTAAAATAAAGACTTATAATGTTGCTGATCAGCATTATCTACTACTTTCTTCCTTGTAGCTATGAGGAACTACAACAAAAAACTAATTATAAAGGAAACAGTTTAACCGACTTAATTAGTAAGATCCTAGTTTTCATAAACCTCTAATGTTTAAATAAGGCTGGAGAAAAAGTGATTCACATGGTATCGTATAGGTTTCCGATATTACCATGAATGCACCAACTAAGTATGCACTCTTTATTAAGCTACATACAAGTAACGGTACCCTTACAAACTGATTATTTTCATAAATAACTAGTTTAGCATGCAAATACTATTCATAAAAATATGAATTGTTTAAAATCTACTCAACAGTGCGGAAAATTAGGTAGATTATAAGATTCTTACAGAACAGCCTTCCTTTTGACCTACGCCAGTCTGCCTGAGGAAGTTACATTTTCAGATTGAATTTACTTTAGTGTAAATCTGACTATTTTTGCTATAGGCGGCGAATAAATTGGCTTTCCAATTTCTAACTCTTTGATATTGTTTAGTAATGTATGTACAGTATGTCACTTAGATGTATCGTTTAGGTTTTGAAGTACACGGTTATATAATTTCAAAAAGATTTTTAGTAATTCCGAAATATTTTATTCATTGTTTTAAATCTTTGTTAAACAAAATCAGGTGGAAATATGTAAACCAACAGGAGTGTACATATGTGATGGCAGCAAAGAAGAACGTGAAGAACTTATAAAAAAATTAGTTGAATTGGGTTCTTTACATAAACTACCACCGTATGAAAACAACTATATCACATGTACTGATCCAAGTGATGTTGCTCGTGTTGAATCAAAAACTTGGATCTGTTCAGAGCATAAACATGATACTGTACCAGATGTAGCTCCAGGAGTTAAAGGTGTTCTTGGTCAATGGATTTCACCTAATGATTTGAATACTGAAATTAAAGACCGTTATCCTGGTTGTATGGAAGGTCGTGTACTTTATGTGATTCCATTCAGTATGGGTCCAATTGGATCACCAATGAGTAAAGTTGGGATTGAAATAACTGATAGTATTTATGTTGTACTATGCATGATAATTATGACACGTATGCATCCAGATGTATGGGACGTTATTGAATGTTGTAAGGAGTTTGTTAGATGCGTTCATAGTGTTGGATGCCCTACTTCATCTCATCGTAAGTCTAAAAAGATTATGTTTATTGTGTAAAACTTTAGGTCATGATTTATGAATCATTTATATGTTTCTGAATTTATACTGAAACCAATATTCAAGAAAGGTACTGAAAATCAAAAACCTGTTAATGTTTTTATTTTCCTAGTTTGTAACTTAATAATCTTGTGTTACCAAACTAAATTACAAACTCAAACAATGTGTTTATTTCAAAGAGATTTATAACCCACCCAAGTTAAACAGTTAATAAAAACATGAAAGCATGCGATAGAAAATCCTGGGTTCGATCTTTGGTGACCGGATTATCAGGATAAAATGTTGGAGAGTAATATACTAGGATGAACCGATCGTTTAATGCTTCTGGTTTTTCAATGGCTGTTTAACTTAATTTGATTCATGATCTCAATTAAATTCAACAATCTCCACGATCCCAATACTCATAATTCATTTATTCCCTACTTCATTATTTTTAGTTGTTTACTTATAATTAACTTTGGTTAAAGTGCCAAGCCGTTTCCGAACAAATAATCGGCCAATTATCGACGGACATATCAGTAATAACTTCGTTGAGGGATGTACTAGAATATGATAAAAATGATTCTATTGATACAAGTATATTAATTGGTTATCTTCAACTTGATAAACGATAAAAGTATTTTTTTCACCGTCTTTAAGACGTTAATGAATTACTATCACTTTAGTTTTCTCCAAAATGATAAATTTGCCCTCCATACTGATTGTTTAATTTCAATTGACTATTCATCTTTTTGGTCACCGCCTTAAATTCCCAGGGAAATATGTTCCTTCGGTTGCTTCTTTTCTCTTTGCTTTGAGGATACCAAGTATAAGCTTGCCTGGCGATTCAGTTTGATGACTGCCGCAATGTATGTCCTACCCATTTCCAGCGTCTTTTCTTAAGTTTCTAGTGAAAATGATCTAGATATTATTGCATAATAAAATCAATAATTAAGTTACAACTGCCTTTTATAATGCCCAGATGAAATCATTTTTGATTAAAAGTTGTAATACAATAAACTTTTCACAATTGATTGATCACTGGGTGGCAATCAATGTCATGCGTGTCTAGTCCTCATTAGTGAAGATCGAATGCTATCGACTATGTTGCAATGTGGCCACCAGTCTAGGTGACTCGACATTGCGGTCACTACATATCGAGATTAGATGATGTTTGGAGGTAGTCGACAATAAACTTTTGAAAACTTATACACCCGTTATTTTGGGGCAAACACAGTGTGGATGTAAATAAGCCATCAAAGGAGTTAGTTTTCTACATGTACTAGTACGGCTGAAAGTTGGAAGAGTTAGCTCTCTCTCTCTCTCTCGCAATGTCCTCACATGGCCACGTGCATACAACCACTCCCAGGGAAGTCCTATTCACTGTCTTCTAGTGACAGGGGTGTTTTTTTACGAAATTGACAGGATGGAAAGCGAATGTCCGGCGCTTTAGCCAGGTTGGTGGACATGGAGAGTTTACCTAGGGGAGTTAGAAAACCTTGATTCCAAACCGATGGTGCACATGGCCTCCAGTATCCTGAAGTGACAAATGGCGTATGAACCAATCGTTAGTCACCGGCTATCATTGGACTGCATCACCTTACAATGCTCAACTGCCTTATGGATCAGACCTTCAGGTCGAAGGCTCCGGGTGTGGCCCCCTAAGAAAACCACCTGCTTCGGTTTGGGAACCCGGGCAGTATCCCTACCTTCACACAAATTGAATGATTTATGTGGTGCATATCTGTTTGATACCTTCTTGTACCAATATTTATGTGAATGAATTTTAAAAAAAGAAATCTATTCTTACAATGTTCAGAAAACTAATCTTTTAAATCTGAAACTTTTAAACAATTTGTTTTTTTGAATAGTTCAAAAAGATTCATTGTATTTCATCTCAGCTTTAAACCTTTAATGAACCCTAGTGAATGATCATTTCCGACGATTGTTCAACTAAATAATCTAGTAGATAATAAGAGTAGTAGAACAAGGCTAAGAATGAAATCCCAAATGGGCGTTCTATCCCATTTAAGACTCTGTCAAAGGTGTTTGCCATGTAGATAGCATTATAATGTTCAAAAGCGATAATTATTTAATCGATAATGTTCAGAAGGTATCACGTTAACACATCAAAAAGTGATCGGAAATTCGCTTCCTTGAATAAATTATTAATCACTATGAAATACTTATAATCTTTTCAGTAATAAAGTTTCTCATTAATCTATACTCATAAACTACTTACATTGAATGAAAATTTTATTTTATTTATTAACGTCTTAGGCAAAATCATCAATCATTGGCCATGTAATCCAGAGAAAACTTTAATTTCTCATGTACCTAAAGAACGTTTAATTATGAGTTTTGGCAGTGGTTATGGTGGTAATTCATTATTAGGGAAAAAATGTTTTGCATTACGTATTGCCGGTTGTATTGCTCGTGATGAAGGCTGGTTAGCTGAACATATGTTAATTATGTCTGTAACAAATCCAAAAGGTGAAGAGAAATTCATAGCCGCTGCTTTTCCTAGTGCTTGTGGTAAAACAAATATGGCTATGCTTGAACCATCATTGCCTGGTTGGAAAGTACAATGTGTTGGAGATGATATAGCATGGATGCGTTTTGATGAACATGTGAGTACTCAGTTTTGTTTTCTAATATCGGAGATTTATCAAGTCTATGTTTATAGATCTTAATGACTCTATCTAATTAGCTAAGTTGTCTACTGATTTGAGATAACAATCTATTATCAGTGTTTATAGTTTAAGAAATACTATTAAAGACAGTGTCTCTCCATTAGAACATAACATGGCTGTTAGAGATAAATTGAGTCTATTCCAAAGGGTCATTTCAGATGTAATTTTTAGATAGTTTAAATGATCAGTCAAACACTGGTATCCTTCATGTTACTGGTTTTACCGTTATTTGTAAATGTTCAACAGTTTTCATGTTGAAATGTTACCCTAATTTCTTAAATCCTGTATTGAATTTTAATAATAGACAAGGATTTCACTCATTTGTTTAGTATTAATATATGATTGAAGCGGTGGTTTAATGGTTAAGGTATTGGGCTTTCAGCCAGTGGGCTCTAGGTTCGAAACTTACTCCACTTATTTCATTTAGGGCAACTGGGTATTACCACTAGCTCGCATACCTAAAGTACGGCTGTATTATTATTTGTATCTACATGACTTATTATGATTATGTTTCCTTACATATATGCTAGGGTGTTCTTCGAGCAATCAATCCAGAAGCTGGTTTCTTTGGCGTTGCTCCAGGTACAAACGCTAAAACTAATCCGAATGCAATGGCTACATGTATGAAAAACACTGTTTTTACTAATATTGCCCAAACTAAAGATGGTCATATCTTTTGGGAAGGACTTGAAGATCAATATAGTCCTGATACAGAAATTATCACATGGCTTGGTGATCATGTTAAATTATCTGATAAAAGTAAAGATCCTAAAGCACATCCAAATTCACGATTTTGTTGTCCTGCTAATCAATGTCCAATTATTCATCCTAAATGGGAAGATCCACGAGGTGTACCAATTTCAGCTATAATTTTTGGTGGTCGTCGACCTGAAGGTATACCATTAGTTCTACAATCATTTGATTGGAAACACGGTGTTATGTTAGGCGCAGCATTAAAATCAGAAGCAACTGCGGCCGCCGAATTCAAAGGTAATTTTAATATAAAAACGATTTTATTCACACAAATATTCGTCAATATTTAAACGAATACTTCAATAGAATTTGGGCACCGAGTGTTTAGATCTATCCAACAAAGTGTTTTATCATATTCAATATGTGCTGTATCTAGTACTTTTAAGCATTTTGTTTACGGTTCATTCACTTGATGTATCTGGGATTAAGCCCAACTGTCTGCTATGAATACGTCACTTAGTTGTAAAACCATATACAGGATAGAAAATGCAAATTTACTAAAAGTTTTGAATTGTATTGAATATTCTAATGAAAGGTATATTCTTATTGTTGGGGTGATCCAGAAAATTGCTTGCAAAAGACAAGCAAGCATCAGGAAACACTAAGAGGCGTTTCATCTAATCAGCGTTCGCTTGAAGTCTTAGCCAAAAATATCAAGGAAGCGAAACGTCACATGCAGAGGCTCTGATTGGTTGGCTGCTACACTGTTATTATGTTTAGTTGCATTCCAGAATCTTCTAGCAACCCAAGGACATTTAAAATATTATAAAAACCCTGTATTTTCTGTCTTAAAATGAACCTTGGAGTAAACTACTTCTCGCGTACTTTGAGTCTTCTCTCTCGTGTTCAGGTTGCTGTATAGTTCTAGCTTGGGGGTTACAGAATATCTTAAGAGACGAATATAGTCTTCAATCCGCAAGACTTATCACTTATATTTTAGTATTCACTCACTAAATGATTCGTAAAATACGCAAAAGTGTTAGATACAGTACATTTATTGACCACTTGAAATGTGACGGATAAACTAAAATCAAATTTATGAATAAAACTATTTAAATGTTTGATAATTTTATTTTTAAAATATATGACAATTTATATATTTGTTTTACTACTGTGATGTGTGTTACTGATGTCGACAGATATAAGTAGTATGTATCATCGATCGGAAGTGAAATCTTGGTGGCAAAAGTTGGAGAAAATCAAAGAAAATAGAAAAGGAACAGGGAATGACTGGTATGGAAACGAAGGAACAACAAAGTCTAAGATAACTGATAGATATTTTGCAAATGAAGTATTTACTGTATGGTACTCATAGTTTACCAAAACATTCTGTAATGTTGCATTAATGTACATTTAGTTGTCCCCGATTGTGTTCTTGTTCACTGTACTATATTTCCTAAAAAATATTTAGCATTTAATGAACTGCTTCAGTATAGTGATTACATGGTCGAATCATGTATAAAATTGTGTACCTTAAACGAGCGATTTATTGATTTATTCATCCTAGTTCTTCTAGATAATTGGTTCTTTAATAACTTTATTTTAGTGTAAATACACACCCAAGTAATTTTGTTTTTCCAGGATATAATTGGTGCTTCTTCATGAGTAGTCAGTCAACTGTTGATCATTAAAATACTGAGAAAACATAATTTATTGAATGTTTCTTGAAAATATTAGTTATTTAATTTCTCGGTGTTTTAGTTAACTGCCAGCATACGTGTAGTGAACGAAAACACAAGTGAAGGTAATCGAATGTATTTGAATATGAAATCACAGAACATCTTAGTAAAATCTAAGAACTATACGACCAAACCATCCAGCTCAGAGAACAAAACTCCACCAAAAATCATCCACCTGAGCTACAAATCTTCTCCCTTATACAGTAAATACTTTATTTGCAAAATGCCAATCAATCATCTCAGACTTCACTATTCTTTTATTTCTACAACAATCATTCTCTGTCGTCATTCTCTTCAATCTTCCTAACCTACTGCCGCAAGATATTTCTTATTCGATTGATGATACATACTACTTATATCTATCGATATCAGTAGTACATACCATATACGTATTCATTGTTATTGTATTATAACTACGTTTAACTTTCTGTATTAAAAAAGAATCTATCCTAAACTGATAGGTATACAGTTTTAATATCAAGTAATTAGAAAACTATTCATAAACATTCTAATGGTATTCATCATAAATCGTTAAAACTTTAGCCTTTTAAGATCGATTGTACATTGATTGATAAAGTTGGATGGAATTTAATTTTACCAACAGACCAGTTACCATCGATTGAGGAAGCACCTTCAAGGTCGAAACAGATGATTGTTAAATTAAAATGTTAATTATTATACCATATCATGATTGATTTCAAAACATAATTAACTTGGTTACAAAAAAACTGGAATGGTAAAAAAAATTCACTTGTTTATAATAGTGATGAGAAAATGGCTGTAAAAGAATGTAAAGTTATATGAGATGAAGTGATATTTCATACTTTACGCCAGGATAAATGTAGTGGGTTCTATCCAATTGATGTTCATTCTTCTCATATCTGTCTCTATTTCTCAGCGTAATGTGTTTCTTGGTCTTAAGAATTCCAAGTGAGAGCTTGCCTTGTGACGCAGTTGGGTGCTTTCCTCAATATGTGTCTTACCTACTTCTAACAATTTTTCGTGATTTCTTCCTCCTCTGGAATCTGGTTTGTTCTCTGCCACAGTAGGTTGTTGCTGGTAGTGTCTGGCCAACAGATCCGAAGTATTTTGTGTAGACAGCTGTTAATAAACACGATATTTCATAGTATTGCATATTAATGCAAATACGTAATCAAAGAAGATTTGATTTAATATCTCTTTCAATATCAAGACAGTTTTAACTGTATGGGGCGGAAACTTAGAGAACTATGAAAGCCATCATCCAGAAAATACAAATGTTTATTAACAATTGTCTACGCAGAATTCTTCGGATCTGTTGGCCAGAAACTATTAGCAACAACCTACTGTGGGAGAGGACAAACCAGATCCTAGAGGAGGAAGAAATCAAGAAAAAGCGCTGAAAGTAGATAGGACACACATTGGGTAAATTACTCAACTGTGTCACAAGCCAAACCCTCACTTGGAATCCTCAAGGCTAAAGGAAAAGAAGAAGAGCAAAGAGCACATTACGCTGAGAAATGGAGACAGATATGAGAAGAATGAACAACAATTGGATAGAACCAGAAACGAAAGCCCACGACAGAGTGGATTGTAGAATGCTAGTCGGTGGCCTATACTCCATTGGGAGTAACAGGCGTAAGTAAGTGTAGGTAATAGAACCCACTACATTTTATCCTGACAGACAAATAACAATAATCGACGGTACTGATGATGGATGACATCAGAAATTTCGTTAATCACCACAGGAGTACAAACCAAAAATTTAGAACTCAGCATCTTTAAAACTATGCAAATGATCCCTTAAAAATTGTTTTACAATTATTTGAATGAATTTATTACTATTACTATTACTACTATTGTAGTGAACGGAACACGAGTGTGGACAATCGAATGTGTTGGAAAAAAAATTACAGACTATCTCAATAAAATCTGAATACCATAAAGTCAATCGTCAATTTGCAAAATATTAATGCATCATATCAAACTGGACTGTTTCCGTTGCAAACACTAATTCATTATCTCCCATTCCATTGTACATGCGTTTTCTTACAAATTCCATTGTACTCTCGCTCTTCCTTTCTTGATCTTCACCTCATCTTCCGCTGCCAGATATTACGTTTTAACTCGCGACATATACTACTTATAAGTAGCACACACCACACTATTACTATTAGCTATATTCAATACTATAGATTTTGGTACAATATAGAATTCACAGCACAATGTATTTCAACAAGTTACTGTTTCGTATTTTTTTATTGATCCTGACAATAAATATTGAGTGATTGCCATTTGAATGTTAGCAGTCCAGTCAATCGACATTTGAATAATGTACATTGGCTTCGATATATATATTGCCGTCAACCACTATATGTCTGAGTCGACCTTTTACAACTCATACAATGAAAGGTTATATATTTTACATTGTGCAATTAGTAGACATCATAATCTATTGAAACAAACAAGAAAAACGGATAACTTGTTGAAATATCTAAATAACAGGAACCGGTAGCCCAGATATTCAAGCAGGTCGTCAGCAATAAGCTGAATTCAAGATAAAAAAGATTAGACAGTAATTAGAGAAAATTCAAAGCTGATGAAAAAAATCTGTATTCAATTCCTTCTCTTTCTTATTACGTAATAAATTACTTATTCATTTGATCTGTTTTTTGATTGGCTACAAATGTTGAGAATTTTTCCCAAGGTCATTTATTGATCGCTCAAATGTATCCCATACAATGATATTGATTTTGTTTTTCCCACTTTCTGTTTTTTATCTCTTCTATATTGATTTATTGATTTATTTAATTTTTTGATAAATATTTAGGTAAACAAGTTATGCATGATCCTATGGCTATGCGTCCATTTGTTGGTTATAATTTTGGACATTATTTAAATCATTGGCTTAGTATGGAGAAACCATCACATAAAATGCCTTTAATATATCATGTGAATTGGTTCCGTTTAAATAAACAAGGTAAATTTGTATGGCCTGGTTTTGGACAAAATATACGTGTTATTGATTGGATACTTCGACGTGTTAATGGTGAAGATATTGGTGTCAATTCACCAATTGGTATTTTACCTAAAAAAGGTTTGTTCAATTAGTTACTAACTTGTGAATAGTTTTTATTTTAATTTAATAGTTGAATTGATAAGTTAATTGAGGCTAAACCATCATGGAAAATATGAAAGTACTTGACGGTTGTTTCGTTATAGTATGGTACTCCTCAGCAATGTGTATCCACGATCTCAGGCTTCCAGTACTTTCAAGTTTTCTATGGTAGTCTAGTTTTAATTGACTCATGAATTCAACTATTAACTTACTATAATATCTCCAACCCCCCCCTCTCTGATTTATTTATTTGTTTATTGTTTCATCGTTCATTAAGGACATAATAATGTAGATAAACATCTAATTGTGTGTTAAAATTTTAATTGGAAACAAAATAGAGGGATAAGTGACATACAAGGATCCCAATGTTAAAAGTTGGATGATAGAATAGAGTTCCTATTGATTTAGACGAAATAATTTCTTCGGTATTAACGAAAAAAATTGGAAGTCTAGTAGAAAAAAAATAGTGATCAGAAGAAAAATTTACATCAATAAACCAGAAGTTGTGAGACTCTTCTCATACTGTATTTACGTACTTTCCCATATCTCATTCTAAAGTTAGAATTTTGACATTTAGAAAAAATTAAGTGTAAAATCATTCAAAATGAACTGCATTGCAGTTAGTGAGTGGTGGGAGGTCATTCAATAAACACGCTTCTCATATGCGAACTAAACTAGATACTTGATTGGGGAGATTCAAAGTTGATTAGGAAGCTTTTATTGGCTAAACTGAATTATATACATGCTCAACTCATTCACAAATATGTATCTGCCTCCTGCCCTCCTCGAATAAAACAAATTAGGCCAGATTTTCAATCAGTATTACGTAACTGTTACCTTAGAAAATGAAGCCGAATCTTGATCACTAGCATGAACCTATTCATGACTCTTATTTACTTATTTAGCCTTGAACTGATATATCTGATTGGCATATCATGTCAGTAAAATAAACATAACCGTATGTAATTAAAATGTTTCAGATGGCATTTTAACATTAGATCATCAAGAAGGAAATCATTGGAAAACTTGGATTAAAACTAACAATATCTTTCATTTATGAATGTGAGAACATTGAATATAGTTTTGATTGTGGCTATATGTTTGATTGTACAACTACACTATCTTTTATTACTGTAATATTCTTGACGAGAAATGTTGAAACCCTTATTGTTTTGTAATTCATGTAGTCAGCATATTTTCATTGAAATTACACTACAACTATGTCATACATTTATACATAATTGAGATTGATGATAATTGATTTTCTCTTCAAGTAAATATGTAGATAGGAAAACAGGAAACCTATGTTCTTTCGGATTACTTTGTTGAATCCTTGTGACATTTTAAGTAAATTATTTAATTTACAGAAGTTATGAGTTTTTGTTAGAGTTTTGTTCTTTAAGCTGAATAATTTGGTTGTGGAGCTTTCATCACCCTTCTAAATGACATCATCAGCACAAACTTCAGCTCAAAGAACAAAACTCCATCAAAATTATCCACTTGAACTATAAATCTTCTCCACCTTCTCAGAAGTCATGAATATTCATATTACTTTTTTTTTTCAGGCAAGTAAATTACCTATCAGATTACTATCAAGAACGATACCGATTTGTGTAAATCAGATTTTTCGTTACGAATCTTTATATGCACTGAGGTTATGGATACATTCATTAAATAGGTAGAATTGTCATTATAGAGTTGTGGAGATTATTAAGTTATTGATTGAGATCATGAACTGATAATTACCACGTGCTCATTAATGACTAGCTTCGTGAGGGAATTCTCGGAGTTCTAGTGAGAAGCCGTGACTAGTAGAGCTAATCCGTGTCGGGTAGAGACAGGTTTCTACCTCAGTACAATGGAAGATGGTCGCGCAATTTTGTGGGTTGGTTAAGGTTAGATATTAACACCGTTGAATACCGGTTCGCAGTCTAGAGGTTAAGCGTTCACGCGCGAGACTGAAGGCCCCGGGTTCGAATCCTGCGAGCGGGATCGTAGATGCGCACTCCTGAGGAGTCCCATAGTGAGACGAAACGGCCATCCAGTGCTTCCAGATTTTAGATGGTGGTCTAACATCAATCGGCTCATGATCTCAATAAATAATTGAAAATGATGTAAATATTTCAAATTTTATGTCACTTCACTTGTCTATTAGTTGCACGATTATAAATGTTACCGATAAGTGGATATAAACAGTAAAAATTCTCTGGTTTATTGTTAGAATACATTTGATATTGACTTAAAAATGTAATTAGAAACTAACATTACGTTCTATTCGAGACTCCTCAACCGTGTATGTAGATTGTCTTCTCATTGCGATGTGTACTCTTTACTTATCGAATCGAATACATGAATCACAATAGCCATGAATATACAGAAGTAAACACCGAAGGTGACTGTTTACTAATAGAAACTTATTGTTCCAGTATATCAATGTGAAATTACAAACCTTCCAATGAGTTATTATTAAGTGGCTTATTATTATTATTATTTTTATCACAGGTTCAATCAATTTCGATGGTTTAAACGTTGATTGGGATGAGAATTTTTCACTACCAAAGGATTATCTTTTAGAGGACATTGATGAAACAATGAAATATTTACAGGAACAAGTTGGTAAAGATTTACCAGCTGTTATTCAAAATGAATTAAACAATCAACGTGAACGTATTCAATCTCAACTTTAAATGGTAAATTTCATTTAACAATTAATGACAATACTGCAACTTGATCACTGAATAATGATCAATTTTGTGTTTGTTTAATCATTTAACATTGAACGAAATTTATTAATTATTCAGTTGTAAATAACCCTGTCTTGCAGGAGGTCATTCACGGTCCGAATAATTCGATAGTAGTGTTTCAGACTGAATCTAGTTGATGTGAGCTCGAACCCTACAGGGAGTAACAGCTTTCTTAAGACTACAAATACGTCTTACTACAAAGTTGAGGTGACCAACTGAATGATTTTAATGTTGATGAGTTCTCTTTGTTAGATCATTTATTTATAAACCGATTATAATCTTTTGAAACAATCTCATTATCAACTTACTTTCATGTGTCCTACTTTATGGCAGTGAAACATGACCGGTAAGAGTAGAGGATATTCGTAGGCTACTAGTATTCGATCATAGGTGTTATCAAAACATTGCTCGTATATCCTGGGACCATCGAGTAAGTAATGCAGTTGTTAGGAAACGGATACTAGGTAAGTATGGCAAATCAATTGATGAAGTAGTGAAACTCTATCAGTTTGGTTTTGGCTGGGAAGTATGCCCAACCACCGTTTGCCCCGACATGCGATGTTTTATGGTGTAAGAGTAGATTGGAAGATTTCACTGAACAGTACTAATTTCCAGATTCATAGTCTAAATTAGTAAATTTAAATTACATCGCCTAGCCAGTAATGAATGCATAAACCGCCTCAAGGTCACGACGTGTATATCAATATTAGCATATTGTCTGCCAATGATGAAATCAATGACCTCATTGAGATACTGTTGTCCAAAGGTTGTATAATGAGTAAATTTACTCCATAGTTCAGCTTTAATCTTATCATTCTGATCCAGTTGTTTATATTAAGAAGTATTATTACTTCAATAGTTGAGATCATGAGTCAAGTGAAGCTAGACCACCATGGAAAACTTGGAAGCATTGGAAAGCCGTTTCGTTCTATTGTGGGACTCCTGAGCAGTGCCCATCCACGATCTCGCCCCACGAGATTCGAAGTCAGGACCTATCAGTCTGGAGCCAGCGTCTAATGGTTTTAATGCCTAACTTTAACTAATCCACGAATTTGAGCGATACATCCATCATTCTCTTCAATGAGTTACTATCTCACAACACATCTGGTTCAACTCCACTGGTTATAGCTTCTCACTATAATTCCAGGAAATACCTCTTGAAGCTAGTCACTAGTGAGCACATACTGATTAGTATCAGAAGGGGTTTTTATAGATATATTACAGTAATTAGCTGTGTACACTACAAATTGTAATTATTCTGTATGCTTTCTTATTTTTTTCCTCATAACTTCTTGAAGAATAAATCAGAGGAAGAAGAAGAAGACGATAACGACGACGATGAGAATGAAGAAGTCAATGTTTAATCATTTTCTTCAACTTAATGTGCTTTCTAATTTTTTTTGTTTCTTGTTGCTGTTGTTATTGTTGTTAGCTAACTTCTATTGTTGTTCGTAGACATTAATTATAACTTGTTCTTTTTGTTTTTGTATTACTTTTAATATTACTACTAATACTGCTACTCATAATAATATTCATTTATATTGTCGTTATTGTTTTATGGTAGCATTCTTAACATTATTGTGATCCAACGAACCTTTTCAATGAAAATACAATACATTACAATTCCTTTCTTTCTCTATTTTCTTGATTCATTATCGTTCCGAATGATTGATTCGACCATATTTGTGATATGTTATTGTTGTGTTTATTGAGACTCCTAAGTAAAGGTTGAATTGATATGTTGAAATGTCTTGAACGAGACGTTAGATTCAATATGTGACTGTGTGTGTTTGTTATTATTATTACATCCGGAAAGTTTTTAAAATGGTATTATTTGAATTAGTTTTTGTTGTGACTGTGGACTGCAGATTAGAGCGAAGCGTATTATCGATCGGACCAAAGACGCGTAAAACACGTAAGAACGACCTAAAGTCCTGATTGATCCTGCATCCCTGTCTAGTCCAGCCAGTTTAGTCCAGAACGTAAGTCTCAGCCTCTGAGGTATGAATCATTATATTTCAAGCATATTCTGTTTATATACCAGTCAAGCAAACCACATCGTAACATAAAATAAAAAATAACATTGTACAATATTGACCAGAAGGAAAACGACACGTGAAATAAATATTGACCAATAAGATGATACCATTTCATATCCAAGGACAGCATTAGGCTTAACAGGATAATTTTTAGGATATTTTTCTGAATATCCCAACAGTTTTATTGATAGTTATGTTAAGAACAATGATTGTTAAGGGAAAGTATTCGTTATGTAACACAACCCTTGTGGTGGTGGTGTAGTGAACGAGAACACAGGTTGAGGCAACAGAATGTGAATATCATATGTCCAATACTTCATTTGTAAATTATTCCTACATTTTCATAATAATCACTGATTGTTTCTATTCTCTTCTATTCGATCTTCTTAACCTTCAGCTGCTAGACATCCCACTTTTGATTGGTGTTACATACTACTTATATTTGTCGACATATGTATCACACACCACAAAAGTACAGTTAATGAGTAAATATCAAGAAAAAAAATATTTGAATCACATTTATCATTAGACAGTAGTTACAAGTTGTTCTTTACAATGCAATTTTAAAAGTTAATGTAAAAGTGACCGCAATTAGTGAATACTATGCGATTACTCTTGAACACTATGCTCCTTAGTATTATTAGCTTAACACCTAATCATTGGGAAGACAAACCTTGACCTAACTTTGTGAAGAATCTATACTCGATGGTAAAATGTCGCATATTTTTTAATATTAATGTACACTTTACAGTGATTATTAATTAAATTTAAATAATTTGGACTTAAATGAATATCACATGCTGAAGGAATTACACAACAGACATTCTCAGATAGATAGTGACTAGTAGTGAAATCCTGAACGTGCTTTTCGTCCTGTTTGGGACTAGTCAGCTGGATGTATCTGCATCTCAAAGTTGATGTTTATTCCGGGACTCGAATCCAGTACCGTTCACTTCAAACAACATCGCGTTATCCACTTAGCTACTGAGTTCTAATAGTCACTTGCTTGTGCAATGGGGTGAAGTTAAATACTATTGCAAATTTACAGGTGTTCAATCTCAAATAACTCTACCTGTAACTTTTCTAGAATTACTGCTGCTCCTAAGCCAGTTTAAAAGACGAGGGTTGGTCATGAGGTTAGCAACTTTATTCCGTAGAAAACAACCTTGCTAAAAGTAAAACATAACCTCAAATATATTCAAAGTATTGTTTACTTTGAAGAAACCACATGCAATTTACAATAGTTAGAACTATTTAATTTAAAGTGGAATATATATCCAAAACTTCCTATTCTACTCGATATTATCATAATAGTTACTGAGATGACTATCGATCAAGAAATATAAGACAAATTCTAAAGAGTTATGAAATTCACATAGTTGGTTATCCTGAACATATGAAACTTGTGATAGACAAAGCTATTTCTGTCTACGTTTTGACTGTTATTGTTATGTTTGTGGAACTGCTTAACTGATTGGTGTTTGGTGTGAAAGACCTTAAATCTAACAACATGCAGTGAAAATACAAAGACTGTTGATTTGGATTTTTTTAATCCCTGGAGATAAATCAAAATAGTATATGAATGAACAACTTTTTATATGGTTTATTCACAATCACATTTGTATAGATTGAAATGAATCGTATTGAATATCGATTAACCGATTGCCTGCTACTTGAACACACACTTCCCATATCCTGTGACTAATCACCTGTAATGAATAAACAGGATTAATTAATTAAGCCATATGATTATTCCTTTTCATGATGCTATTACATCTCACAGGAGGTCGAAAAGACTCAACGTCATGTATCATTTACATTGTGATCTATTAAGCCAGTGTTCACCATACCAATTAAACTTAAAAAGTAGGAACTTTAGCTTATTGATTCATGGAGAAAAATTACAAATATTAAGAAAGCATACAATTCGGAATATTCCCAACGCAAACTACTAACACAAAGGAACTTTTTACTATCATGCCGATGTTACTCATCTGTAAGTAAAGTTCGGATAAATGAAGTAGGGCAGTAGCTATCAGTGGAGTCTAGAACGTGTATTTTATTCTATTTAGGACTCATCAGCTCGATATAACCACATCCTAGTGTTAATGTTCCCATCGGGATTCAAGCCTAATATTTTTCGTTTCAATCATTTGAGTGAAACATTCCTTGTATTCCTCTACCCCATAACGGATGACTAAGTATTGAACCTTCCGTCATTCACGCGAACGCTTAACCTTTAGAGCATTAAACCAGAATTTAAAAATGTACAATCCCAACTTTTGTTAATCCGAAATATTGAGCAACCGTCTTTCATTGTATTTAGTGGGTAACTACCACATATACAAGATTTTTGAATTCCACTAGTCACGGTTTTTCACTGGAACTCAAGAAATCTACTCTTCAATTAGTGAATGGTAATTGTAATTGTGTAGTTTTGATGATAATTGAAATCACGAACCGATCTAATTTAGACAATCATTAAAAACCTAAAAACACTATTTTTATTTAAACACATAAACATTGGTACAAGGAAGCACCATCAGATATGCGTCACATAAATCATTCGATTTGTGTGAGGGCTTGGATACTACCCGAGTGCCCAGAACGAAGCAGGTGGTTTCCTTAGGGGTCCACACCCGAAGCCTTTGACCTAAAGGTCTGATCAAAAAGGCAGTGGAGCAACGTCAGGAGATGCAGTCTCATGGTAGCCGGTCAACAACGATTGGTTAGTACGCCACTTTTTCCTTTAGGATACTGGAGCCCATGTTGACCAGCGAACTCTTGGTATCCACCAACCCCACTCTCGACCACACCAGAGCATTTGGGGCTATGATGTTCTGTAATTTTGTATTCAATTACATTCGATTGTCCCCGCCTGCGTTCACGATCACTATACTTATG